AGAGAGAGACAAAGAGAGACAGAGAGAGAGAGACACACACAGAGTGGCAGACAGTGAGACAGGAGGGCAGAGAGAGAAGGGGTGGATGAGGGAAAGAGGTGAGAGAGGGAAAAGTGGTGATAGATGTGGGTGACAAAAGGAGAGAGCGTTGGTTGCAGACTGAGCAAAGAGGCAGGATACGGACAGAATGAGAAGGACAGAAGACAGAGCATGAGAAGAGAGGGGAAAAAAGGGGAGAAGAAAGGAAATGAGAGAGCCTAGGCAGAGGAGATTTTAGTTTGGCAAATGATACAGGGCAATGAGACTGGTTTGGGAATTGATACAGGGCTATGGGGAGACAGTTGAATAGTGGGATTAGTTTGGGGATCGATACATGGTTATGGGGACAGCACGGGGCAGTGTGATTGGATTGGGCATTGATACAGGGTTAAGGGGAGAGAGCAGGGCAGTGCATTTAGCTTGCGGATTGTTCCAGGGCTATTGGGAGAGCGTGGGGCAGTGAAATTAGCTTGGGGATTGATACAGGGAAGTAAGAAAGAAGAGGATGAAATTGTTCACTACCCTCATCGGCACTTGGAAGATTTCTCCCTGACAACGGACCTTGACTGTAATTTCCCAGGGAGTGGGAGGGGGTTGGGGAGCATTCGCTAATACACACAGCAGCACCATGACTTCAGACTCACACTGTACCCAGGTTTTCATAGGCCTCGAGCAGAAAACTTTGATCTGCTTCAGGTTCCTCTCTGCTTCCCTGCAATTGAGCGAGGGAAGGAGAGAGAAGGAGCCTCGTATATAAACAGTGACAGTGACCGAGGGGAAAAGTGAGACAGAGAGAGGCGCAGTGAGTGAGAGAGGAACCAAGACAGAAAGACAGACAGATAGAGAAATAGTGATATAGATTCCAGGATACAGAGTCAGAGCACAAGAGACGGGGAGAGAGAGAGAGTGTGAACGTGTGCAAGAAGGGACACAGAGACAGACAAAGAGTCATGGATAGAGAGAGGGGCACTGAATAGCAAGTGAGTACACGGTAGAAAGGGAGCAGTACCTTATAGCAATGCCAGCTCGGCTGGTCTGTCAGGAAGGTGTGCTGGCTGAGAAGGGTGGAGAGGGTGAGTGGTTCTTATGAGCTGTGAAGACAAAACATGACAACAGCATGCGTTAGTCTGACAATGAGCAACTCACCAGGTCCATCTATCCCAGCGGGCGGTGTATCTGCTAGCGTGACAGTGTGGGGCCAGACCAGCAAGGAGGGACCCAGCACACATGGCCAGACCGGTCGGGAGGGACCCAACGCAAGCAGTCAGATTGGCAGGGAGGGACCAATTTGCAGGGCCAGACCCAGAGTGTGGGTGAGACACAGAACCCCCAGGGAGAGAGGCACAGCAGGAGATGGATGCGTGGAATGGGTCCTTGGGGAGAGAGATACAGCGAAAGTGCAACAGGCAGAGAGGGTGGGAGGGAGAGAGAGAGAGAGCGAGACAGAGTGGAGGGGACAGAGACACATGGACAGATGCAGTGAAAATGAAAGAGTGTGTCTGACAGATGAACAAAGTCCTTACACAGTCAGATTCAGGTTTTCATTCTGCTCAGAGTCAGAATGCAGGGCCCTCCTCTGGGCCCATGTGCATGGCCGTTTCCTCTTCCTGTGCCATCTGCTCTGTCACTCATTGTCTCCATCCGGATCATCCTCGGAATCTGTGTGCCAAGCAGCCGAGACGGTCAGGCTGTCTCCACTCCCTTTTGTCAGAGACACCATTAACCCCCGCCCAGAGGTGAACATGAGTTGGAGTGGGGGGTTGGAGGGGAAGCATTCTGCCCATTGCTTTGGTGCTGGTTCTCCAATAGAGGACCGAGCAGGGTTGACGGGGGGAAGCTGGAGAAAGGCAATTGATTGAATTGACACATAGGAAGCCAGCTCCAGCTGTGATGGGCCAAATGGCCTCCCTGTGTGATGTCACAGCCCCAAGACAGACCCTAGCGAGAAGGGGACTGGAAAGCATCCTACAGTTTGACAGATCGCCAAACTAACAGGTGAGGGGAGAGATGTTGGGGTAGAGGGAGTGGGTGCACAGCCAAAGTGAGGGATGTTACACTGGAGGTGGGGTCCCTGCAGCCCTTCCTGACATCGGTCATCAGCCTCAGGTGCCAGCCACTGGAACACCCTGTCCACCTCTTCGGGGTTCTCCTGGTACAGCGCCAACATCTGGCTGAGTTGTTGGGGAGACAAGAGCTAGAACACAACAAGTGGGTGGGGGGTTGTGTTTTGGGGGAGCAGGAGAGATAGAGAGAGGCACAGAAACAGAGAGAGCAGGAGGGAGGAATAGACAGAGGAGAATCAATGAACAGGGCAGGTTCACTGGATGAGTAGGTGGGGGGGAGCAGATGATGTGGAATAATTGAGGGTGTCAGTGGGTGAGGTTAGGGGATCTGAGGAATGGGGTAACGGGCTGGCAACTTTCTATCTTGGTGCTTTACTTTCACGAAATATGCACCGACACAACTGGATGTGTACTGTGAACCCTGGTTGTATGGCTTTGTGGTGGGGGGAGGGGTCCCAGCAACATGCAGACAGGTGAAGCCTATCAATGCGGATGATGGACCAGATCTCAACAGTAAAGGTCCTCTATCTGACAACAACTTCGCCATTGGTTGTCAAGACAGCCAGAGCTGTGAGCAAGGCAGAGAGAAGATTTGTGACACCAAAAAGTCTGAAGCAGCCAAACTGTCTCAATCTCTTTGATCCTAGAGTAGGATAACAGTTCGGCACAATATCGTGGGCTAAAGGGCCTGTACTGTGCTGTACTGTTCTATGTTCTCCCTGTGCTCTGCAAACGTTAACTCGAATTTCTCTCCACAGCTGCTGTTGCCAGGGTTGGAGGGTTTGAGCCATCGGGAGAGGCTGCAAAGGCTGGGGCTCTTTTCCCTGGAATCAGAGGATGAGGGGTGACCTTACAGAGGTTTACAAAATCACAAGGGACATGGATGGGGTAAATGGACAAGGTCCTTTCCCTGGCTTGGGGACGTCCAAAACTAGAGGGCATACGTTTAAGAGACAACAAGGTGCAGAGCTGGATGAACACAGCAGGCCAAGCAGCATCATAGGAGCAGAAAGGCTGACGTTTCGGGCCTAGACCCTTCATCAGAAATGGGGGAGGGGAAGGGGGTTCTGAAATAAAATAGGGAGAGAAGGGGAGGCGGATAGAGGAGAGGATAGGTGGAGAGGAAACCGACAGGTAGAAGAGGCTGGGATGGAGCCAGTAAAGGTGAGTGTAGGTGGGGAGTTAGGGAGGAGATAGGTCAGTCCAGGGAGGACGGACAGGTCAAGGGGGCGGGACGAGGTTAGTAGGTAGGAGATGGGGGTGCGGCTTGAGGTGGGAGGAGGGGATAGGTGGGAGGAAGAACAAGTTAGGGAGGCAGGGACGAGCTGGACTGGTTTTGGGATGCGGTAGGGGGAGGGGAGATTTTGAAGCTTGTGAAATCCACATTGATACCATTGGGCTGCAGGGCTCCCAAGCGGAATATGAGTTGCTGTTTCTGCAACCATCGGGTGGCATCGTTGTGGCACTGCAGGAGGCCCAGGATGGACATGTCGTCTGACGAATGGGAGGGGGAGTTGAAATGGTTCGCGACTGGGAGGTGCAGTTGTTTATTGTGAACCGAGCGTAGGTGTTCTGCAAAACGGTCCCCGAGCCTCCGCTTGGTTTCCCCGTTGTAGAGGAGGCCACAACGGGTACAGCGGATGCAGTATACCACACTGGCAGATGTGCAGGTGAACATCTGCTTGATGTGGAAAGTCTTCTTGGGGCCTGGGATGGGGGTGAGGGAGGAGGTATGGGGGCAGGTGTAGCACTTCCTGCGGTTGCAGGAAAAAGTGCCGGGTGTGGTGGGGCTGGAGGAGAGTGTGGAGTGGACAAGGGAGTCACAGAGGGAGTGGTCCCTCCGGAAAGCAGATAAGGGTGGGGAGGGAAAGATGTCTTTGGTGGTGGGGTCGGATTGCAGATGGCAGAAGTGTCGGAGGATGATGCGTTGGATCCGGAGGTTGGTGGGGTGGTACGTGAGGACGAGGGGGATTCTTTTTTGGTTGTTATTGCGGGGACGGGGTGTGAGGGATGAGTTGCGGGAAATGTGGGAGACACGGTTGAGGGCGTTCTTGACCACTGAGGGGGGGATGTTACGGTCCTTGAAAAACGAGGACAACTGAGATGTACGGGAGTGGAATGCCTCATCCTGGGAGCAGATGTGGCGGAGGCGAAGGAATTGGGAATAGGGGATGGCATTTTTGCAGGAAGGTGGGTGGGAGGAGGTGTATTCTAGGTAGCTGTGGGAGTCGGTGGGCTTGAACTGGATATCGGTTTCTAGGTGGTTGCCCGAGATGGAGACAGAGAGGTCCAGGAAGGAGAGAGAGGTGTTAGAGATGGTCCAGGTAAACTTAAGGTTGGGGTGGAAGGTGTTGGTGAACTGGATGAACTGTTCGAGCTCCTCGTGGGAGCACGAGGCGGCGCCGATACAGTCATCAATGTAACGGAGGAAGAGGTGGGGTTTAGGGCCTGTGTAGGTGCGGAAGAGGGATTGTTCCACGTAACCTACAAAGAGGCAGGCATAGCTTGGGCCCATGCAGGTACCCATGGCCACCCCCTTTGTCTGTAGGAGGTGGGAGGAATTGAAACAGAAGTTGTTGAGGGTGAGGACGAGTTTGGCTAAGCGGATGAGGGTGTCAGTGGAGGGGGACTGGTCGGGCCTGCAGGACAGGAAGAAGCGGAGGGCCTTTAGGCCATCTGTGTGGGGAATGCAGGTGTTGAGGGACTGGACGTCCATGGTAAAGATGAGGTGTTGGGGACCGGGGAATTGGAAGTTCTGGAGGAGGTGGAGGGCGTGGATGGTGTCACGGACATAGGTAGCGAGTTCCTGGACCAAGGGGGAGAAGATGGAGTCCAGATAGTTGGAGATAAGTTCGGTGGGGCAGGAGCAGGCGGAGACAATGGGTCAACCAGGGCATTCAGGTTTGTGGATTTTGGGAAGGAGATAGAAGCGGGCGGTGCGGGGTTGGGGAACGAAGGCATAGGTTTAAGGTGAGAGGGGAAAGACTTAAAAGGGACCTAAGGGGCAACTTTTTCACACAGTGGGTAATGCATGGATGGAAATGACATGCCGGGGGAAGTGGTGGAGCTTGGTACAGTTACAATTGCAACATTTAGATTTAGATTTTATTTTCACATGCACTAAGTAGAGGTACACATGAGTACAGTGAAAAGTGCACATTGTCGCCATTCTCTGGCGCCATTTTGGTTACAGAACCAGATTTAACAGAAACAAAAGGTAAAAGAAAACAAAAAAAAGTCCAAATCTCAGATCCGAAGTCCCATTTCCACAAATGCACCCGGAACGTGCATTTAAAAGGCATCTGGATGGGTACGTGATTAGGAAGGATTTAAAGAGCTATGGGCCAATTGCTGAGACAGACTGACTCGCTCGCTCATTCAGTGACACAAAATATAAACGGACACACACATTCACTTCTCACTTTCTCTTTCTGTCGCTCACTTTTCAACCTCGTCGCTATCATCCTTCAAAATCAACTCTGGGGCCGCGCCGCACCACCGCTTCCTATGGGCCAGGAGGACCGTCAGTCAGCATCTCCCGCCCCAACCCTGCTTTCTGAATGGACCAATAACCTGTCCGTCATAAAATCCCGCCCAGCGCCCTGCTTCGGATTGGTCGCAGCGACTCGTCGCGTGGTTCTATCACACCATTGGTCAATGTCTACGTCCATCATCGCGTCGTGTCCAATCCCTTCATTCTCTTGGTGCCTTCCGTTGTCTATCAATATGTTCAATCCAATCCCCAATTGCCGATTGGTCTGCTTCCCATTGTTGATCGCCATGTTCCGTCCAACCACTACACCCGTTTGCACCGCCCCCTTGTCGATGAACAAGATTGACCCCGCCCCCATTCCTCGTAATCTGATTGTCCGTCCATCATCGTGTCCCGCCCATACCCCTCCTGCTGGTTGAACATCTCCCTTGTCCATCAAATCATTAGGCCCCGCCCACCAGCACTGGATTGCTCCGCTACCATGGCCATCACCGGAACCCTTCCTTCGATTGGTTTTTCAGCATGTCGATCGTGGAGCCGCGCCCCATTTACCGTGCTCAGATTGGCTAGACTCCTGCCGTGTCCCCCCTCCCCTACATTTGCTCCGATTGGAAGAAACGCGGATCATCCCCTCTCATTATTGCCCATTGGCCCTGATCAAGAAGCGCTGCACTCATCTATTGGACTATCCGACTGTCCCTCACCACCTTCCAACCATCCCCATGGTTTTCACGCTTGTCGACCCGGAAGGACGCAGTGGAATGGCGGCAGCTCGCTGTCAATCACTGCCCAACCCGCCCCGCTTGCTGCTTGCCTTCTCCCTTAGTTCATCCAGTGAGTACTCACATCCCAGTTCCCAAAAAGAGAAGGAACAAATTACTGCAAATGCTGGAATTTGAACTGAAAACAGAATTGCTAGAGATCACAGCGGGTCAGGCAGCATCCATGGAGAGAAAGCAGCTATCTTTTCGAATCTAGCGACAGGATGCAGAACTGGGCGAAGAAGTGGCAGATGGAATTCAACCCAGAAAAGTGTGAAGTGATATATTTTGGAAGGTCAAATTTAAATGCAGAATATAGGGTAAATGGCAGAATTCTTGGCAGAGTGGAAGAACAGACGGATCTTGGGGTCCACATCCATAGATCCCTCAAAGTTGCTACCCAAGTTGACAGGGTTGTAAAGAAGGCATATGGTGTGTTGGCATTCATTGGCAGGGGAATTGAGTTTTGGAGCCATGAGGTTTGCTACAGCTCTATAAAACCCTGGTTAGGCCACACTTGGAATATTGTGTTCAGTTCTGGTCACCTCATTATAGGAAGGATGTGGAAGCTTTAGAGAGGGTGCAGAGGAGATTTACCAGGATGCTGCCTGGACTGGAGGGTAGGTCTTACCAGGAAAGGTTGAGGGAGCTAGGCCTCTTTTCATTGGAGTGAAGAAGGATGAGAGGTGACTTGATGGAGGTATACAAGATGATGAAAAGCACGGATGGAGTGGATACCCAGAGACTTTTTCCCAGGGCGGAAATGACTATTACGAGGGGTCATAATTTTAAAGTGATTGGAGGAAGGTATAAGGGAGATGTCAGAGGGAGGTTCTTCACACAGAGAGTGTTGGGTGTGTGGAATGCACTGCCGGCAGTGGCAGTGGAGCCAGATACATTAGAGACATTTAAGCGACTCTTGTATAGGTACATGGAGGATAGTATAAGTAGGGTATGCAGGGTAGTTTGATCTTAGGAGGATAATAGGTCAGCACAACATTGTGGGCTGAAGGGCCTGTACTGTGCTGCACTCTTCTATGTTCATCACAGCCGATGTGAAGTGTGAAGAGGGCAGCATTTATGCAATGGCGGGTTGGAGTGCTGGGGGAGAAAGGCATGATGTGGAGGTGTTGGTGTTTGTTGGGGTGGACAAGGTCAGAAATCATACTACACCAGGTTATAGTCCAACAGTTTTATTTGAAAACACAAGGTTGATAGTGCAGTATCACCAGCAGTAGCAGTATCAACACCCTTTCTATACCATCCATCATCCACAAGGCAGTGAGCAATCTCTGCGTGGATTTTGGGGCTGAGACCTCTGTGTGAGTTTGTATGAGGTGAAGAGAGGAGGGACAGGCAGTGACAGTCCGGACTCAACTATTGAGCTACTGCTTTCTGTCTCATGAGCGCCACGACCCCCACTGCTCACATCTTGCATTCATCAGGGCAGTTTGCAAGAATACCAATTAAAGGGGGAAACCAACATTTAGTCTGCAGGACACGCAGGTTCCAGTGGTCACAAAGCACTCACAAAGACTGAGAGACTGCAGCACCTCAAGGAGCTGACTGACACACCATCACTTTTCAGGGGCAATTTGAGATCGGTACCCAATGCTGGCCTCGCCAGTGACAATCCCATTCAAACATTTTCAAAAATCTTTCGTCTGACATTCTCCATGTCAAACAAAAACAAATCATCATGCCATCCCTTTTGTAATTCGAATATGCTTTATCCGGTAATCACTTTCTGAGCCTGACTGGCTTCTGCTGCCTCACCGAATGGAGATTCTCATTGACCATGGCACGGCCCGATGTGGCAGCACTGTGGCTCAGTGGTTAGCGCTGCTGCCTCAGTGCCAGGGACCCATGTTTGATTCCACCCACAGGCGACTGACTCTGTGGAGTTTGCATGTTTTTCCTGTGTTTGTATGGCTTTCTGCCAGGTGCTCCAGGTTCCTCCCACAGTACATAGATATGCAGGTTAGGTAGACTAGCGATGCTAAATTGCCTGTAATGTCCAGGGATGTGTAAATTAGGTAGATTAGACATGGGAAATGCAGGGTTATAGGGAAAGGGTAGGGGAATGGATCTGAGTGGGATCCTCTTTGGAGGGACGGTGTGGACATGTCGGGCTGAATGTTTCCACACTGTAGGGCTTCTGTATTCTATGTTAAAGTGCTATATAACTGACCCCAGTCACGTTTGTCCCAGGGAACAAGAATCTTGCAATCTTTGTTGGGACAGTCAACATTTAAAGGTAAATTAAAACATTCAGTAATTGAAAAAATGCACAGCCTCACATTGTTAATCAAAAACAAGCTTTTTTGTGTAAATGAAAATATCGAACAAAGAAGTATTGTAAATTATCACAATTGTAAATATCTATGCAATGTTTTGAATTCAGCTTTGTTTTTGCAACCCAGGACTGTTATCTCATGAAATCTTGAAGGTTCATTCACTTTCTTTCGGGATCAATCCAAAAGTATGCCACAGCCAGTGGAATTTACTTTGGTTTCTCCCCAGTTTCTCATTCTTATACTTAAGATTTCCAGAACTCTTTCTCTGCAAATGTTCCATTGTCTGTGTTATCAGAACTGACTGAATAAAAGCAGTTTGTCTGTCAAAAGACCTGCAACTCTTTCAGGGTTGGTTACAAGTCTCACTGGTCATGTTATTCCAATGCACTTTCATATTCAAGAGGATGGTTTGATTTCTTGCTTGGTCTATCTTTAAACAATTAGTGTAATTTTTTTTTCTGATCACCATTTAGATTAAAAACTACTAAACTCTCAGTAATGTCAAATGCTTCCTCAATTTGGATGTTTAGTTTTCTTTCCAACGCTTTGATTTTTCCACATCATGCTGAGGTTGAAAATGTACTCTTATGATACAGTAATTTGCCTGTTGCATTCTGCATTGCTTTGGCACTGGCAGGAAAATTTAATGTTTGATGTTGTTAACATTAGTCTGTTCAGCCTTTGTCTATTCCTTTGAAAATTTTAACTTTGGATTCTGCAGGTAGTTTTGCAGCTTCTGTGCTCCCCATTACGAGGGTAGATACTTCAGTTTTCTTTTATTTGAATCAGTTCCATGCTGAGCAGGATTCCAAATGTCATGGAGTTTTCACTCACTGGAGTAACTTCCAAACGTGGCTCTCCATCCAAATTTGTGAAAACAGTATACTGCCCGCGAAATCAATTCTCTGTGTTAGGTCCATATGGTTAATGAGGAACGTGGAAACAAAACCAACAGCAAGGAACTCTATCCCCAGAGTACAACTTCAATTCACTCTGAACAACTGACAATAAGACAAAGGAAAAGTAGATCATTCAGCCCATCAAGTCTGGACTGCTGTTCAATGAGATCATGCCTGTTCTGATAATCCTCAACTCCACTTCCCTGCCTTTTCCTGATAACCATTGATTGCCTTCCTGACTAAAAATATGTTCAGATCAGCCTTTAATATTTGAATAATCCCACATCAGTAATCCTCAGTAGTAAAGAATTTCAGACTCACTACCCTTGAAGAAATTCTTCCTCATCTCTGTTTTAAATGAGCAACCCAGTATTCTGAGATGATACCTTCCGTTTCTAGACTCTTCCACAAGGGAAAGCAACTATTCAGTATGCTCACATATTATTCTTCTATGTTCCAAAAAGTACAGGCACAACCTAGTCATCCTCTCCTCTCCAAAGTCCCTCCTTATCTGGTATCAGCCTGGTGACCATTCTCTGGGCAGTCGCCGATGCCAGTATATCTTTCTTTCTATAAAGGGCCGAAGATTGTTCAGAATATTTCAGCTGTGCTTTCATGAGCACCTTCAACACACATTTCCCCACAATAACTCATATTAATAAAATGAATTTTTTGGAAAAGGTCCAAAGCTTTTCCTAATAAGGTTTCAACTGAGCCAGCAACTCAGAACAAAAATCTTTTTTGGCTTTCTTGGACATCTGGAGTGACTTCCTGAAAGTATAAACTGGTCAGAATCCCTCACATCTGTTTTCTCGCATGGTAAATGCATTAGAGAGGATTGGTTTCTCAGAAACTTCACTCTTTAGTGAAACGTTCGCCGGAGAAACACCAGCCATTTTTACCAACGCTGATTTATTCCTGGATCTTCAGCAATTTGCTATAAATGCCCCACTCTACAACAGGGATAACATATCAGTTCTACTGACTCAGTTACATCTTCTGCATGATCTTTTAGACTACCTTGAGGACAAAGCTTTGACGGTTTAGACAGGAACATAGAATGGAAATGACAATTCAATCAATCATAATCTTATCATACGGTGAAACATTCTCGAAGGGCTGAATGGCCTTGCGACTCCTCATTCATTTGTCTGATGTATGACAGCTTCCTGCCACCACAATACTCTTGGTCTTTCATTGGGAGCCTGACTAGAGATTTCTTCCTCCAGCTCTAAGCTCAGCAAACCTTCCAGCTTCTTTTCCCCTCGTTGATTCCAAATGAGCTGCAAACTTTACAAATCTCCAAATGCCTTCTGTCAGAAGCATCCACATGAATTATACAAAACAACTCCCTCATGTGACCCTCTCCATGCCAACATGGCATGCTATTGGAGAAATGAAATGCAAACTGAAGATCTTCTACCTTCCAAACCTTCCTTTCATTTGGTGATTTGGATGGAATTTGAAGCATCAGCCTCACTGAGGCAAAGTGGTGAGCATGGCCAGTCCAGTAGAAAGATCCCTTCTGAGAGTCCCACTTCACCCATCAGCAGAATGAACATGGTTTAGTCCTGAGTGTGATAAGCAGAAGTACTAACGGCAGAACACATTTCTGCAGTCACTCATGACCTCGCTGGTGTTTCTGCAGGCTGGATAATCGAGTGAATTCCTTCCCACACTGAGAGCAGGTAAACAGCTTCTCCTTGGTATGGATCTGCTGGTGTTTCTGCAGGTGGGATGACTGTGTGAAACCCTTCCCGCACTGAGAGCAGATGAATGGCCTCTCCCCAGTGTGAACTCGCTGGTGTTTCTGAAGATTGGACAATCGAGAGAATCCCTCCCCACACTGAGAGCAGGTAAATGGCTTCTCCCCAGTGTGAACCCGCTGGTGTGCTTGCAGATTGGATAACTGTGTGAATCCCTTCCCGCACTGAGAGCAGGTGAATGGCTTCTCACCAGTGTGAACTCGCTGGTGTACATGCAGGTTAGATAATTGTGTGAATCCCTTCCCACACTGAGAGCAGGTGAATGGCCTCTCCCCAGTATGAATCCGTTGGTGTTGCAGCAGATTGTGCGAATCAGAGAATCCTTTCCCACACACAGCGCAAGTAAATGGCCTCTCCACAGTGTGAACTTGCTGGTGTCTCAGCAGATTGGAGACAGAAATGAATCCTTTCTCACACACAAAACAGGTGAATGGCCTCTCCCCAGTGTGTCTGCGCTCATGAATGTCAAGTGCAGATGGGGAAGGGAATCCCTCCCCACAGTGTCCACATTTCCAGGATTTATTCATGCTGAAAGTGTTTGCATTGTTAAACCTGGACAGATAATTAGTTGAAGTCTTGTCCACACACAGAACATATGAATTATCTCTCTCTGCTGTGAATTCTGCAATTTCTTTTTCAGGCTGCTTAACTAGTTAAAGCTTTTTTCAGTCATTGCACTGAAACACTCGCACTCAGGTGTAGGTGTGTCACAATTCTTTTTCAGTCAAATTGATTTTTAAAATATTTGAAGCAGACTATACACAGAAACAATTCTCCTTCCACAGTTAAAGGTTTAAGACATTCAGATCCTGACAAATCGATGGATTTCAGATCTTGACATGATGTTAGTTTTCAAATTCTTTCTTCACATCCTCCTCTTCTAATATCCTTTTGAAAGCAATTTAAAAAGTCATCACTATCTGTGCAAGATAAAAATTAAAGAGTAAATATTCTCCTAAAGGCAATATTTAATACTAATTGATAGATTTCTGTTTACTACCAGTGCAGACTCAATGGACCGACTGGCCTCTTCTATACAGCATGGTTGTATGCTTGTTCTTGTACTCGTCTAAAAATATTCAAATTTACTGGACTGCATCTCTTGATTAAAGACACAAGGGAATGTAAGGAAAAATGTTAGTTAGGCATTGATTGGTCATAATCTGGAAATCTCGACATATGACGAAGTGGCAAGAATTATTTCAAACAGTTGCTTCAAAATTGAAAGGATTCAACTAAAACTTGAAAATAAATTTGGATGAGCAGTTGAGGGAAATGAACTTGCTGCTTGACGGAGATATATAGAGAGAATGAGTGGCTGGATTGCTCGAGAGATGACACAGATTCAAATTGCTGTATGGACTCTATGCCATAATGAGTCCATCACTAAAATATAGAATTTCACAATAATCTTCTCATACAAGAGCGGAAACAACACGTGAATGTTACAATACAATGATACTATCAAATACATTATAACAAAACAAGGCATAGCTCAATGATATTAATTTGATACCTCGTCACATGTCAGCCCTTCTAATTGTGAACGTTAAGACGCCATTCTGTTACCCAGACAAATAAGTATGTCAAACTGACGGAGTAAAAGACGTCGATGTCTTTTTAAGAGTGCGGAAGACCAGGGCCAATCTTTTCAGAGTCTGCACCCTCCCCGGATTCACTTCCCTACCGTCCAATTCTTGAACGACAATAATTTAACCCCGAATGAGAAAGCAACTGGAGGGAGGAAGGAAAAAACAGTGTTATGCTCACGCATGATTGACAGAGGAAGATGTTGCAGGCTGGGTGAAGCTCAGTCTTCATTCAGAGAGAGGAGTGACTGCCATACCTTCACTGGCCAGAAATCAGCAGCTTCAGAAGCATGTTGTGCAACTTCCGCATTCAGACAATTGGGTAGCGCTGATTGGCTGGAGGACCAGACTGTTTCCGGTCCTCCAGGGTTTTCCATTGGACAAGGATAAATATCTTCGAAAATTGCTTCCCTAGACATGCGCATGCCACCCGGCCGTGCTGCTGATAGAGCCTTTTAATTGCGCGCTGTATTGCGGTTCCTATAGCATGATACGTAGTGGGGTGTGCGTTATAGACTGCAATGGAATCAAGAGTTTCGGGATGGTTTATAAGCAGAGTAACAAATACCCGGATTTAAGTTACACTTAAGAATTTCATCGAAGGGAGCAGCATTTTTCATACAATAACAGGTACTTAGGAGTGAATTATTGATTGAAATTAATCAATGGGCTTAGTGGTTTCTACATAGAATAACAGATACCCGGGAGTGATTTACAGACTGGAATCTAATCGAGGGTTTCAGTGTGGTTTACGTGTAGAATAACGGACACTCAGGAGCGATTTACAGGCTGGAATCTAATCTAGTGTTGAGTGTTGAGGAGGTGCAGTTGTCTATATTCACTGATTGCAGTCCGTAGGTCAGGAAACTGAGGATGCAATTGCAGAGGGCGGAGCCGAGAAGTTTTGAGATCAGGTCTGGAGGGGATTGTGGTGATGAAGATGGAGATGTAGTCGATGAGTCAGAGTCTGACATAGGTGTCCTTGTTGTCTAGATGATCCAGAGATGAGTGCAGGCCTAGGAAAATGGTGTCTGCTGTAGATCTCTTATGTCGGTAGGCAAATTGCAGGGGACTGACGCAGGCTGGGAAGCTACAGTTGATGTGGCTGGAGTATACGTAGAGTACCAGCAGTATCCTTCAAAATGTTAAAGGACGCCCTCATAAGAACAGGCTACGATGTTCAACCCATCGATTGGCAAGTAACAACAGGCCACAACAAGAAACTGTAATGACCTCCTCAGAAAACAGACAGGGGATACAACTGATAGGGTACCCTTTGTGGTCCAGTATTTCCCCACAGAGGAGAAACTGTGCCATGTTCTTCACAGCCTTCAACACATGACGATGATGAGCACCCTGCCAAGATTTTCCCTATGGCTCCACTTCTCGCCTTCAAACAACCACCAAACTTTAAACAGACCATTGTTCGAAGCAAACTACCCAGCCTTCAGGACAACATCGACCACAACACCATACAACCCTTTCATGGCAACCTCTGCAAGACATGTCAGATCATTGACATGGGTACTACCATCACACGTGGGAACACCACCCACCACGGCAGATACTCATGTGACTCAGCCAACGTTATCTATCTCATACGCTGCAGGTAAGGATGTGTCAGGGCATGATATACTGGTGAAACCATGCAGCTGCTACAACAACGGATGGGTGGACACCGCTTTGGAAATAAAACCAGTATGACTCCAAGTTAAAACACAGACAGATTCTAAACAAGGCTTCACACCTAAAATGCATTGTCTGACCTGAGATGTCACTTCTTGTATACACTGACTAAACCTTTAGTTATCTCGGACTTAAAAAGAAAGAAATTCTGAGATTTGCATTTCAATCAATTGAAACCTGCATCTCCTTTCTAACTTATTCAAAATTTAACAGGAGGGAGTCAGCCAGCCATTTAGGTTTATGCTCGACATTCACATCAGTTGTATGATCTTTTGGTATTTTACTTAAAGTCCAGGATTGTGTGTGATACATCTCTCACAACACCTGATGAAGGAGCAATGCTCAGAAAGCTAGTGTTTTCAAATAAACCTGTTGGACTATGACCTGATGTTGTGTGATTTTTGACTTTGTAAATTGGGGAAAGAGTACGAACACAGTCCTCCACTACCACAAACTTCCTTCATTTGGGGACATCGTAGGGGTCAGCACACCCGATGTGCAATGCGATAGCGTCATCGTGGGAGAATTTTTATTGCAAAAAAATACTTTATTCGTAAAAAGTTTATACAGATACATAGTCACTGAAGCAGTCCAGTTCTGCACAGTAGCATACAAAGAAAGAAACAAACATTGTAGTTTGGCTCTGAACACCACACATTAAGAAGGATATATTGGCCTTGGAGGGAGTTCAATGTGCCTTTGCAAGAATGATACCTGGACTTTAGAGGTTATGGTATGAGCAGATATTATATAAATTAGGCTACAAGACTGTCTGCCAAGCCTCTGGACGAGAGGGCCTGGGGGCTGGGAGTGCAGTGGTTCAAAGCTGTAATTCTAACCCGTGGCGGTTATACTACGGACAATTCCGACACTCCTCATGCTCGTGAGTCAGGCCGAGAGGCATTGAGTGGGTCCAGGAAAGGGGGAGGGCAGTGAAACATGGTCAGGCCATACAGAAGGAGAGAGAGAAGTAGATAAAGAGAGTCAGAAATCACACGACACCAGCACAAGCCTTCGAGCCTCAGTCCTTCTGTTAGCAAGAGACACCTGAAGAAGGACTAAGGATCAAGCTTGTGTTTCAAAAACACCTGTTGGACTGTAACCTGGTGTTGTTGATTTCTGACTTTATCCACTCCAGTCCAACACCAGCACCTCCATATCGTAGAAAAAAAGATACAGGGAGAATGACAGCGAGACAGAAAGAAATAGACGAGAGAGAGGGAGAGGGTGATTGCTGAGTTGGTGTTTGATCAGTGAGTCTGCAGTTCGACTGAATCACTCCTGGCTCCCTTTAGGATCATTATTGAAATTCACAATCCTGGAGACATAACAGTTCACTCCCTCAGTCACACATCACATCGCTCTTTCCTCCTCTTCTTGGCCACAAAAAGAAAACACACTCTCACATTCTCTCACACACCCACCCTAGAGGGGCAAGTGTGGGGTGGGACAAACATTGTGGGTGGAAAGGGGGTGGTGGATGTGTGTGGGGACGGGGAAAGAGAGAGTGGGGTACAAAATACAAACAAAATGCTGCCCATCACTCCCAATTCCAACACCAAGGCCTGGGTCCTACACAACTCCTCAGGAGCATTGAGAAAGTCAATGAATAATAAAATAAAAGTTTGTCAGTCCAATAAAAATTAATACCCTGAATTCAACATCAAGTAAATTAAAAGGGCAGTGGTAACGTGTACAAAAGGCTTTGATCAACGGCCAATCAAAATTTAAACATTTGTCAATGTTTGGTTAGTTTTCCCCCCAGCCCTCCATCAGTGGGAGCGCTGTCACATGGCAGGACCAGCTGGTCGACTACAGAGTGCATCGTTCACCCACAAGATCCCACATGCAGCACCAGGCGCGGGATAGAATCATAGAATCCCTACAGCGTGGAATCAGGCCCTTCAGCCCAACAAGTCCACACCTACCCTCAGAGAATCCCACCCAGGCCCATTCCCCAAACCCACTTAATCTACACATCCCTGAACACTATGGGCAATATGGCCAATGTCTAGAAACTGGAGCAAACCCACGCAGACACGGGGAGAACGTGCAAACTCCACACAGACAGTTGCCCGACGGGGAAATCGAACCAAGGCACCGTGAGGCAGCAGTGCGAACCACTGAGCCACCATGCCGCCCCTAATGAAGCCTGGGAGTTTCCCGCTCAGGGGGTGTTTGGGAATGGTGGACAAGGAGCAATTCCAATCACCCTCTAGCCCTCAACCTGTGTCCCCCGTCTCGGTGATCCCCTACAGTCCCCGCAACCCCTCCCTATCTCGGTGACCCCCTCCCTCCGAGGTCAGTCCGAGATCTCTGCATGTAGCTCTTTGACCTATCTTCTCCATTATCCATCTTCTATCCGCCTCCTCTTTTCTCCCTATTTATTTCAGAAGCCCTTTCCCCCCCGCTATTTCTGAAGAAGGGTCTAGGCCCGAAACGTCAGCTTTCCTGCTCCTCTGATGCTGCTCGGCCTGCTGTGTTCATCCAGCTCTACACCTTGCCAAGCAGCATCATAGGAGCAGAGAGGCTGACGTTTCGGGCCTCGACCCTCTTCACCAGCCCTGCACCTTGTTGTCTCGGATTCTCCAGCATCTGCAGTTCCTACTATCTCAGCTCTACACCTTGTTGTCTCTGCATTCCTCCGACTCTATCCTCCTGAAGCATCCACTGACTCCTATCACTCCATCCCAGAGAAGGTGTGTTGTGGGGAAGCGGGGTTAGAACTGTGGATGATTCTGACTCTGGAACCTCCGCATCGCTGGCCGCATTGACTATCCGGTTCCGGCAGGAGCCGAAATCTCACTCTTGCGGTGGGGTCTGTATGAGAGGGTGGGGCAATTAACGTCTAGGGGGTATCGAACCAATCGGAGGAAAGTAAATGGGCGGGACAGTTCCATGGACGGCGTTACCCACCAATAGAAGGAACGGCTATGGCGATGGACGTGGCAGGAGAACAATCAGAAAGAGGGGGCGGGGAGGAACGTTTTGATGGACGAGGGAGTGAGCCAATCGGATGTGGGAAAAAGCGGGAGACGACGGTGGACACCTGATTAGACCAATAGCGAAGTGGACCTGCGTCGAACATGTGGGACAGTTAACAGTAAGAGCCAAGCGAATGGACGGATTGGGCACAACAGGAGGATGGGTGCAGAAACCGACCAATCCTAAAGCAGGGGCGGCTGATGATGATTGACGGGGCTCCTGGCCAATAGGAAGGGCGGCCCGGGCCCTCGGTCCATTTTGAAGAAAAATGGCGCCGAAGGTGAAAAATCAGCGACAGAAACAGAAAGTGAGAAATGAAGAAAAAGTAGGAACTGCAGATACTGGAGAATCTGAAATAACAAGGTGTAGAGCTGGAATGAACACAGCAGGCCAAGTAGGATCAGAGGAGCAGGAAAGCTGACGTTTCGGGTCTGGACCGTTCTTCAGAAGTGGGGGAGGAAAAGGGGGATTCTGAAATAAATAGAGAGAGGGGGACGTGATGACAGAAAGTAGATAGTGGAGCAGATAGTTGGGAGAGAAGACGGACAGGTCAAGGAGGTGGGGATGAAGCTAGTAGGTGAGTATGGTAGGAAGTGGGGATGGGGGTTGGTCAGTAAGGTAGGAGGAGCGGATAGGTGAGAGAGAAGACGGACAGGTCAAGAAGGTGGGAGGGCTGTTCTTGGGATGAAGTTGGGGGTAGGGAGATTTTGAAGCTGGTAAAGACCACATTGAGACCTTGGGTTGTAGGATTCCAAGGTGGAATATGAGGTGCTGTTTATCCAGTTTTCGGTTGGCAATGTTGTGACACTGGAGGAGGCCCAGGATGGACATGTCGTCCTGGGAGTGGGAGGGGGAGTTGAAGTGGTTCGCGACTGGGAGGTGTTGTCGTTTGTCGCGAACCAAGCGTAGGCGCTCCACAAAGCGGTCCCCGAGCCTCTGCTTGGTCTCCCTGATGTAGAGGAGGCCACATCGGTAACAACGGACACAATAGACCACATTAGTGGATGTGCAGGTGAACATCTGTTTAATGTGGAGGTTTTCTTGGGGCCTGGGATGGAGGTGAGGGGGCAAGTGTAGGGGCAGATGTAGCACCTCCTGTGGTTGCAGGGAAAGGTGCTGGGGGTGTGGGGCTAGTGGGGAATGTGGAGCAGATGAGGGATTTGCAGAGAGAGCGGTCCCTCTGGAAGGCAGATAAGGGTCGGGAGGGAAATATATCGTTCGTAGTGAGGTCAAATTGCAGGTGGTGGAAGTGGCGGAGAATTTTGCGTTGAATCTGGAGGTTAATGGGGTGATATGTGAGGACAAGGGGAATTCTATCTTTGTTTTTATTGCGGAGAGGGGGTGTGACGGCTGAGGTGCGGGAAACGCAAGAGATGCAGTTGAGGACGTTTTTGACCATGGTTGGGGAGGGGTTTGCGGCCCTTGAAAAAAACGGGAACATCTGGGATGTCAAGGAGTGGAGCACCTCATCTTGGGAGCAGATGCGGCGGAGGAATTGGGAATAGGGGATCACATCCTTGCAGGATGGTGGGTGAGAAGCCGTGTAGTCTAGGTAGCTGTGGGAGTCGGTGTGCTTGAAATAGATATCAGTTTCCAGGTGGTTGCCAGAGATGGAAATCGCCACCCCATGACCTTGTTTATTCACTCTGCCCTGCCCCTCATGATTTTATAAATCTTTATAAGGTCAGCCTCCGACGCTCCAGGGAAAATAGCCCCAGCCTGGTCAGCCTCTCCCAATAGCTCAAATCCTCTAATCATGATAACATCCTTGTAAATCTTTTCTGCACCCTCTCATGTTTAACAATGTTCTTCCTATAGAAGGGCGACTAGAATCGTATCCAGTATTCTGAAAGTGGCCTCGCCAATTTCCTGTTCAGCCGCAACACGACTTCCCACTCTTGTACTTGATGTCATGACCAACGAAGTCAAGTGTGCCAAATGCCGCCTTCACCACCCTTTCTACCTGTGACTCCACTTTCAAGGAACTATGCACCTGCATCCCTCAATGTCTTTATTAGGCAACACTCCCCAGGACCCAACTATATACTACATAAGACCTGCCCCGGTTTGCCCGACCAAAATGCAACTCCTCACAATTTTCTAAAGTAAGCTCCATCTGCCACTTCTCGGCCCATTGGCCCATATGATCAAGGTCCCATTGTACTCTGATCCTGTTGGTGTTGACCCTGTTGCCTCCCTGTCTCCAGCTAGAACTCAGCAGTGATAGTGACAGTGAGCTCGAGCTGATCGACTGCCCTCGCCATGTCCGCCGGCCCGGAATCAAACGGCGCAGGATCCTCGATGGCACCAACGTACATGCTGTCCCCATTTACACCGGACGGGTAAGTCCCTGATACAGCACTGCACCCCACCCCTGCTCACCCGTCCTCCTGTTTGCCTTTTCCACACCAACTCCCACCTCCCCAGCCTTCTGGTGTAACCCCACCCACATCACCCTTTAGGCTTACCCCCTCCCCATCTTGGGATCGCACCCTTTCCCTTTCCTGTCTCAGATCTATTGAAACTTCTCTCTGCCCTGCTCACTGCCCAGGCTGTCCAGCTGTCTTGGCTACCAATTGCAATGTTGTTGACAGACTGGCCATTTCTGTTGAGATCTGGTCCCTCATCTGCACCGATCTGCTTCACCTGCAGCAAGCTTTTGGTCACCAGTTTGTCTGCACGTTGCTGCCCCCCCCCCCCCCCCCCCCCCCCCCCCCGTTCCCCAAAGTTTGGCCCCCCCCCCCCCCCCCCCCCCACCCCAACCGCAACGCAAAGATAGACAAACAGTGTTCACTGTGCTCATCCAATTGAGTCAGTGCACAGTTTCTGAAAGAAAACCACAAAGATAGAAAGATGCTGGCCTGTGGCCCCCTTCCTCAGCTCCTATACCCTCGCCCGTTGACATCACCCTGCCATTCCCATCTTCTTTCCCTCCCCCCGCCTACTCATCCATTGAAACTGTCATATTCATTGATTACATCCCTCCGTCCATTCATCCACCCCTCCCTCTGTGCCTGTCCCTGTGCCTCTTTCTATCTCTTTCTCCATTCCCTCCGCCTCATCAGCCCGAACTGCCTTGCTGAGTTCTGGCTCTTGTCTCCCCGACAGGTCAGCCGGACGTTGACGCTGTATCAGGAGAACCCTGAAGAAGTGGACCGGGCATTCCAGCGGCTGGCATCAGAGCCGGGTGAGTGATGCCGGGGAACTGCAGGGAACCAACCCCACCTGTGCACCCCCAGCCCACAACAAACGCGACCTCCCCCTCCACCAGAGCCTTGGCAAGCTGTTGAACTGCAGCAGGCTTCCCGTTCCCTTTCTCATTAGTGTCAGTCTTGGGGCTATGACATCACACCGGTTGGCCGTTTGGCCCATCACAGCTCAATTCGGCTCCCCATGTGTCAATACAATCCACTGCCCAGAAAACCGTGCTGAGTCCTCTGCTGGAGAACCACCATCAAGACATTGGGCAGAACGGCATCACCCCTGGGAGTAGTTCATGTTGTGTATGACGGGGGGAGCGTGGGGAGTTGTTTCTAGCTGATCAGAACCCCATCCACTGAATTCCGCCACCCCATCTCAGGGCATTGGCTTGATTGATTCGGCTGCTCGGCCCACAGATTCGGAGGATGATCCAGATGGAAATAGCGAGTTGGAGAGCAGACGGCACAGGAGAAGGAAACGGCCGTCCGCACAGGCCCAGAGGAGGGGTCTGCATTCTGACTCGGAGCAGGATGAGGACCTGAATCTGAGTGTGTAAGGACTTCGTTCATCTGTCAGACACACTGCTTCCCTTTCACTGCACCCCTCTGCATGTGTCTCTGTCCTATCCCTCGCTCGCTCTTTCTGTCTCTCTCTGCTGCACTCTAGCTGTATCTCTCTACTCACTGCACAGATACATGTCTCACTCTGTGCCTGGCCCTGAGGGGTCTGTTTGTCACCCACACTCTGTGACCCCACCCCCAGCGATGTGGCCCTGCTCCCTGTGTTGTTCCCCCCAACAGCGGTCTGGTCCTGTGCCATCACGTTTGCCCACACGCTAGCAGATATCTGCTCCCTGGTACATATGGACCCGGAGAGTTGCTGATGATCAGACCACATGAATACGCAGAACAAACAGATTCAAGAACAGCTCCTTCCCTGCTGTAATCAGACTTTTGAATGAAAATCTTCAAATGTTAATTCTACGCTCTGTCGTTCTCTTGCTCTCTCTGTCTCAGCCTCTCTCTCTTTCTGCGGCTGTAACACTGTATTCTGCAGTCTGTTCTGTTACTCTGGTGCACATCTAATGGTATGATCTCCCTGTGTAGCACGCAAAACAACACTTTTCACTGTGTGTTGGTACATCTGGCAACCATAAATCAATCAGTCTAACCCGTGGTGTTGTCACTGTTCGTCTTCACAGCTCCAGTAGTCATAAGGACCGCTCGCCCTCTCCACCCTCCACACCCAGCACACCTTCCCGACGGACTAGACGAGCTTGCATCGCTATAAGGTATTGCTCCTTTTCTGCTGTATACGTTCAGTACCTCTCCCTCTATCCCTGACTCTCTGTCTCTGTGTGTGTCTCTCTCTCTCGCACATTTGTGCTCTGACTGTATATTTTGGAATCTATGTCGCTCTTCTCTCTGTGTCTCACTCCCTCATTGTCCCTCTTCCTGTCTCACTTTTCCCTTCTGTGACTGTCACTATTTGTATACGAGACTTCTTTTCTCTTTCTCTCTCTCTCTCTCTCTCCTCTTCTCCCTCGCAGGGAAGCAGACAGGAACCTGAAACAGCTCAAAGTTTTCCATTCGAGCCCCGTGAATACCAGGGTACAGTGCGAATCTGAAGACGTGGTGCTGGTGGGTGTGTTACCGACTGTTCCCACCACTCCCCGGGAGATTACAGTCAAGGTCCGTTGTCGGGGAGAAATCTACCGAATACCGATGAGGGTGGTGAGTGACGTCATCCTCTTCATTTTTCAAAATCCCTATAATAGTCCCCAAACTAATCCCACTGCCCTGCTGTCTCCCCATTCCCTGTATCAATCCTCAAAACTAATCTCATTGTCCTGCTCTCCTCATAGCCATGTATCATTCCCTAAACTAATCACATTGCCCTGCTCTCTGCCCAGAGCCCTACATCATTTGTGGAACTAAAATCTTTATTGTCTTGGCTCTCTTGTTTCCTTTCTTCTCCCCTTTTCTCCCTCTTTCCTCGTGCTGTGCATTCCATCCTTCTCATTCTTTCACCATCCTGTCTCATTGCTCTTTTTCCAACCATATCTGTCTCCTTTCCTCATTCCCCCTCTGTAACCCTTTTCCCCCTCACTCCTGTTTTCCTCACCCCTTTCTCTCTCTGCCTGTCCCTCCTCTCTGGCTCTCTCACTCACACAGACGGAACCCCTACAGAAGGTGATTGACTACCTGTCGGGACGACTGAAGGTCAAAGCTGATAGAATTCTTCTCCTACAGAAGGACGTGGAAGTCCCACGTATAGGGACCCCTGAGTCTCAGAACATTGGCGTGGCAGACATTTTGGGTGAGATCTTGGGGAGGAGAGAGTTTGTCTGATGTCGAACCTGAGGGGAGAAACAGAAACTTGTCCCATTGTCAAGGACTCCCTTCACTGGTGGGGGGGATGTTGGAGGGAGAGGGGGGTGGCGTTGGTGGAGGTGGAGTTGACAGAAACACCTCTTGGTGTCAAGGACTCCCTTCGCTGTGCTGTGAGACACTCTCCACCCTGCTCAGTGGTGAGAGACTTCAGACACATCGAGCAGCACCAAACACAGCATCCACCTGCTGCCCATGAACAAATGGGGACTGGTACATGTGTTTGTATACATGCACAGGTTTGCACTGATCTACTCACAGGATCTCGCATGGGGACAGTCCCCTTTTACACGGACACATATACTGACTGAATAACAGCACACTAGGAAACTGAGGAACAGAGGGTCTTTGTGGTGCTTTTGCATAGATGCCTGAACAGATTAATAGGGTCCTTAAGAATGATCCTTGCTGTTTAAAATCATGGTATAGATTATAAGATCAGGGAGGTTTATATTGAAGCTTTACAGGACTTTGTTTAGGCTACCACTGGAGTACTGTGTACAGTTCTGGTCACTGCACGATAGGAAGGACGTGAATATACTGGTGAGAATACAGAGAAGATGCACTAGTGTGTAATCTGGGATGGAGAGGCTCAGCCATCAAGTGAGGTTGAATAAGATCAGCTTGTGTCTCCAGAGCAGAGAAGGTTGGCAAGGTGGGGTGCTGACTAAGGTGTATAAGATTATGAGTGGCATGGACATGGCGGTGGTAGTCTGGAATGTACTGCCTGGCAGAGTGGGAAACCTCACAACCTTTGAAAAGCATTTGGATGAGCCACTTGAAGTGTCATAATATTCCAGACAATACTCCTAGTGCAGGAAAGTGGGACGAGTGTAGGTGATGGTATATTTTAGGTGGTACAAACTCAATAGGCTGAAGGGCCTCTTCTGTACTGTATGATTTGCATGGGGCCAGTCAGACATCAGTTGTGTGCACGCACTTGTGCACGGAAACATAGGCATGCATGCATGCTGCTCTCACAGGGACTGCCATGTGTCCATGGCCAGCCACGCGCGCACGGCACACATTTGCATGTGGACACACAGACACTGACTGTCTGATTCCCTTGCGCCCCATTTGGGATTGGCTGGGATCTGACTCTGTGCTCTGTTTTCAGATTGCTTTGTGATGTCTGAATATCCTGCACAGCTCACCGACAAGATCTGCCTGCGCGTACGTGGAGTGGAGAAAAACTCATTCCAGGTCATCACCATTGGAAAGGTGAGTGTGGAGGGTGGTGCCAGGTGGGCAAGGCTGGAGCACACCACTGTATACGCAAAGACCCTATCAGCAGGGGAACACTGTCAATTACAGTTTTTGCCTAACAGCCACTTGGCAAGCGTGATCATAATATTGTGTTCTATATTTATAGAGAATGGATAGGTGGAATCTGGAACAAAAATACTGTCCTGGACGTCGGCCAGTTGTCAGATTGAAAGCTCTCAACCAGATTCCAATTTGTAACTCACTCCTAATTGTCTGTTATTTTATATAAACCATCCTCAGTCCCTCAGTTAGATTCCACACTGTAATACATTCCCCAGTAAATGTTGTTTTGAACACAGGTCATAGAACAGTACAGCACAGGAACGGGTCTTTCAGCCGACCATGTTTGTGCCAACAATTATGCTATTTTAAACTAATCCTATCTGCTTGTTCGTGGTCCGTACGTCTGTCTGAATGTCTCTTAAACATTGCTATTGTATCTGCTTCTCCCTCCTCCCCACTTGTGGTTTCTGGCACCTACCACACTCGTTTTTAAAAGAAAAATTTTCCTCTCTTATCTCCTTTAAACTTTTCCCTTGTCACCTTAAACCAAACCTTAGTATTTTACATTTTCACCCTGGGAAAACAGACTCCAACTATCCGTCCTATCCTTGCCTCTCATGATTTTATGTACTTCTGTCAGGCTGCCCCTAAGCTTCTGATGCTCTAGGGAAACCAATTCAAGTTTGTCCAATCTCTCCTTGCAGCTAATGCACTCCAATCCAGGCTATATCTGGTAAACCTCTCTTGCATCCTCTTTGAAGCCTCCACATCCTTCCTATGGTATGGTGATCAGAACTTCACACAATACTGCACAAATGTGGCCTAACTGAAGTCTTATACAGCTGCAACATGACCTATCAACATTATACTCGGTGCTCTGAATGATGAAGGCAAACATGCTGTACGCCTTCTTTACCCCTTATCCACTTGTCGCCAATTTCAGGGGGTTGTGGACTTGTATCCAAGATCCCTCTGTATATCCATGCTCTTCAGGGTCCTGCCATTCACTGTGTACTTTCCTCTTGCATTTCACCTCCCAAAATTCAACAGCTCACGCTTGACTGGATTAAGCTCCATCTGTCGTATCTCTGCACAATTTTCCAACTGTTCTATGTCCTGCTGTACCGTTTGATAACCTTCCTCACTATCCACAACTCCACCAATTTTTGGGTGGTCTGCAAACTTACCAAACAACAGTGGTCCCAGCACTGATCCTCGCGGAACGTCATTGGTCACAGACCTCCAGTCAGAAAAGCATTCATCTAAAACTACCCTCTATATTCTCTGACCAAGCCAATTTTGTATCCAACTTACCAACTCACCATAGATCACATGTAACCTCATCTTCTGGACCACCTACCATGAGAGATCTAGTTGAATTCTTTAGTAAAATCCAGGTAGATGAAATCCCCTGCCATACCCTCATCAATCGCTTTTGTCACTCCTCTCATGTTGACCATCCCTAATGCATCCATTCTTCTACAAACGCTGGTAAATCCTGTCCCTAAGAATCTTCTCCAGTAATTTCCCTACCACTGGTGTAAGGTTTACCTGCATATAATTTCCTGGGTATCCCTGTTACCCTTCCTGAACAAAGGAACAACATTGGCTATTCTCCAGTCTTCTGGGACCTCGCCTGTGGCTAAAGACGATGCAAAAATCTCTGTCGAGGTCCCTGCAATTTCCTGCTTGTCTCCCTCAGTATCCTGGGATAGATCTCATCTGGCCTTAACGTTTTTCAAGACAACCAGCGCTACTTCCTCATTTTTATCGACCTGCCCTTCCCTGACATTAATGTCATCCATGTCCTTCTCCTTAGTGAATATCAATGCAAGCTACTCATTAAGGACCTCACTCAGTTCCTCTGGCTTTACGCATAAATTCCCTCCTTTGTCCTTGAGTGGGACTACTCTTTCCCTAGCTGCCCTCTTGGTCCTAATATGTGTGTAAAATGCCTTGGGATTCTCCTTTAAACCTGCTTGCTGAGAACATTTCATGGCCGCTTCTAGCCCTCCTAATTCCTTCTTTAAGTTCTTTTCTGCTTTATCTATACTTCTCAGAGCCTCATTTGATTTCAGTTTCCTAAATCTTGCATACACTTCCTTTTTCTTTCTGACTAACCGTTCAATATCTCTTGTCATCAAAGGATGGCAAGATTTGGCAACCTTATCTTACATCTTCACAGGAATGAGCTTTTCCTGAACTCTGATCAAATGGTCTTTGAAAGAATTGCACATGTGAGATGTGGACTTAACCTCAAACAGCCGCCCCCTGTCTCATTTCTCCAGTTCCTGCCTTAATACAGTTGTCGGAAATCATACAACACCAGGTTATAGTCCAACAGGTTTAGTGTGATTTCTGACCTTGTCCACCCCAGTCCAACATTGGCACTTCCACATTATAATACTGTTGTAATTAGCCTTCCCTGTCCCCCCAACTCAGCACTTTAACACGAGAACATGTCTTAACCTTATTCACAACTACGTTAAAACTTAGGGAATTATGATCATTGTTACCAAAGCGTTCCTTTATTGAAACTTGGATCACCTGGCCAGGCTCATTTCCCAGTACAAGGTGTAGTACAGCCCCTTCACTGGTTGGACTATCTACATATTGTTTCAAGAAAACATAACAAATTCTGCTTCATCTAAGCTGCTGATACTAAGGGAGTCCTCATCAATATTGGGGAAATTAAAGCTACCCACTATAACAACTCTTGTTGTTGCATTGTTCCATGATCTGCTTACATATCTGTTCCTCTATCTCCTGCTGACTATTGGGAGGCCTGTAGTATAACCCCATCGTAGTGATTGCACTTTTCTTATTCCTAAGATACATCCATGTGGCCTCACTAGATGATCCCTCCCAAGATGTCCTCTCTTAGTATAGCTGTGACATTCTCCTCAATAAATAATGCTTCTCCCCCATGGCATTTCCACCCCTCTCTATCTTGCCTGAAACATCTAAACCCGGGAGTGGTGAGCTGCCAATCCTGCCCTTCTCTCAACCATGCTTCTGTAATGGCTATCACGATGAACTCCCATGCACTCGTCCAGGTTCTAAGCTCATCTGCCTTGCGCGTTATACTCCTTGCATTAAAATAAACACACTTCAGACCTCCAGTCCCACTGTGTTCATTAACCTGACCCTGCCTGTTCTTCTTATCAGACTTCCTTGACTTAACATCGACCTTCTCAATCACTCCAGATGCTGACCGACTGCTGTGTTTCCCATCCCTCTACCACACTAGTTTAAACCCTCTCAAGTAGCTCTAGTAAAACCCCTTGCAAGGACATTTCTGTCCCTCCAGTTTAGGCGCAACCTCTCCTTATACTGGTCCTACCTGCCTTGGACGATACCCAATGATACAAATATCTGAACCCCTCCGCCAACACTAGCTCGTGAGCCATTCATTCAACTGTATTACCTTCTTATTCCTAGCCTCACTAGCATGTGGCACAGGGAGTAATCCCAAGATTATAACCCAAGAGGCCTTGCTTTTCAACACTGCCTAACTCTGTAAATTCCTTTTTGCTTTTGCTCTCGCTCTCTCTCTCTCTCTCTCTCTCTCTCTGCTTATGTCTTTGGCACCAACATAAACCACAACCACTGGCTGCTCACCCTCTCCTTTAGAATACCTGTGACTGCTCAAGATATTCTTGACTCTTGGCACCAGGGAGACAACACACCATCCTGAAGTCTCCTTGTGGCCCCAGAAATGCCTGTCTGTGCCCCTGACTGTAGAGTCTCCTATCAGCACTGCTCGCATACATTTCGACCCTCCCTGCTATGCAGCCGTGCCAGTTGTGGTGCCACTGACCCGGTGCTGCTGCTGCTTTCCCCTGAAAGGCCATTCTTCTCCCACAACAGTGTCCAAAATGGTATATCTGTTTGAGAGGAAATTGGCCACAGGGGACCCCTGCACTGCCTGCCCACACTTGCCCGTCTTCCTGGTGGTCACTCCACTCTTCTGTCTGTGTTGCCCTTCATGGTGGTGTGATCAGTTCACTAAATGTGCTATCCACGTCATTCTCAGCCTCGTGGATGCTCCACAGCGAGTCTATCCGCAGCTCCAGGCACTCCGTGTGGCAAATCAGGAGCTGCAGCTGAACACACTTCCTGCATGTATAGTCACCATGGAGACTGGAAGTGTCCCTGATTTCCCCTGAGTTCTCCTGCCACTTTGAACCTTGGCAATTACAAACAATAAACCAGGAACCAATTGCACAACCTTGCCTGTTTCTCACCAAAATCAGATTTCTCACTCTGGCTCTTGATTCCTAGTAAACTACAAACCACAAAAATAGGTACTTTATGCCCCATCTCCCTCCAGGTTCTACTCACTTAGTCTCTAGACTTGGTTCCTAAGCAGTCAATCGTCTGTTACATTTTGAGTTTTGATGTCACCTCCAGAGCTTGACCTCTGGATTCATCTCTGTTCTGCTGTGCTCCCTCCACTGCTATGACTGACCTCAATCCAGGCCCTGCTCTTTAGGTATTTATCAGAAAGCCCCTGTTGCTGTTTACTTCCAGCGATCAGACTGCCAGCTAGAACTCTCTCCCCAGTGCATGTTGTTTTTTGTATAAACTGCTCGATCAGAGTACAGTCTGTTACACGATACCCAGTACTTGTAGTTTTAAAAAATCCCCTGGAGGACAGTCTATAAGTTGTTCTTCATTTCATCCCGTCGATCAGAATGTGGCCTATAACTGACTTTGCTGTTGTGATGGAGGGGTTTACATACAAAACAGCACGGACTAGGGAGTCAGTTATAGACCACTCTCTGATCGACGGGATTAAATGAAGAAAAATATATATTGAAGAACCATGGCAGACTATACTCGAGGGAATTACATATAAAACTACAAGTACTGGGGATCATGTAACAGACTGCACTCTGATCAAACGGTTTATCAATATGACAAATATTGGGCAGCGGGTTACAGACTACACTGTGGAAGGGTTTACATACAAAGTGTAGTCTGTAACCCACTGCCCAATATTTGTTGTCTTATTGATAAACCTTTTGATCAGAGTGCAGTCTGTGACACTGTTACGTGTCTATAACGTCTGGGATTCCACCAGGTGCTCTAGTGTCCTTCCACAGTCCAAAGATGTACAAGTTGGGTGGAAACAGAAACAGAACTTGCTGGAAAAGCTCAGCAGGTCTGGTAGCATCTGTGAAGAACAGGTTAGGTGGATTGACCATGCTAAATTGCTCCATTGTGTCCAAGGATGTGCAGGCCAGGTGGATTTGCTGTGGTTGACATGGGGTTTTGGGGATGGGGGTGGGCCTAGGTAGGATGCTGTTTGGAGGGTAGCTGCAGACTCAATCGGCCCAATGGCTCCTATCTGTACTGTAGGGTTTCTATCATACAATGCAGTCTGCAACTCATTTGCAAGTACTTTTGTTTTCTATACTTCAGTGGTGGGCAAATTATTGGAAAGGGCTCTGAGAGATAGGATTTATGATCACTTGGACAGGCACAGTTTGATTTGTGATGGTCAGCATGGATTTGTGAGGGGTAGATCATGCCTCACAAACCTTATTGAATTCTTTGAAGAGGTGACCAAATACGTGGATGAAGGTAGAGCAGAGGATGTGGCATACGTGGATTTAAGTAAGGCGTTTGATAAGGTTCCCCATGATAGGCTCATGCAGAAAGTAAGGAGGCATGGGATAAGGGGAAACATGGCAGATTGGATTCAGAATTGGCTGACCCTTAGAAGACAAAGGGTGGTAGTGGACGGAAAATATTCAATATGGTGCTCAGTTATGAGTGGTGTACCACAAGGATCTGTTTTGGGTCCTCTTCTATTTGTTATTTTCGTAAATGATTTGGATGTAGGAGTGGAAGGATGGATTAGTAAGTTCGCAGACGATACGAAGGTGGGTCAAGTTGTGGATACTGCGGAAGGCTGTTTTAGCTTACAAAGGGACATTGATAGGATGCAGAGCTGGGCTGAGAAGTGGCAGATGGAGTTTAACCCTGAAAAGTGTGAGGTGATTCGTTTTGGAAGGACAAACTTGAAAGCAAAATACAGGTTTAATGGAAAGATTCTTGGCAGTGTGGAGGAGCAGACGGATCTTGGGGTTCATGTCCACAGTTCCCTGAAAGCTGCCACCCAGGTGGATAGAGTTGTTAAGAAGGCGTATGGCGTGTTAGCTTTCGTTAATAGAGGGATTGAGTTCAAGAGTCGTGAAGTTATGCTCCAGCTGTACAAAAGCCTGGTTCGGCCACATCTGGAGTATTGTGTCCAGTTCTGGTTGCCTCATTACAAGAAAGATGTGGAAGCGTTGGAAAAGGTGCAGAGGAGATTTACCAGGATGTTGCCTGGAATGGAGAGAGGGTCTTACGAGGAAAGGTTGAGAGAGCGAGGGCTTTTCTCTTTAGAACGACAAAGGATGAGAGGTGACTTGATAGAGGTGTACAAAATGATCAGAGGTATAGATAGAGTGGACAGCCAGAGACTTTCTCCTCGGGTGGAGGGAGCTATTACGAGGGGTCATAGTTTTAAAGTGAGTGGAAGTAGATATAGGGGAGTCGTCAGAGGTAGGTTCATTACTCAGAGAGTGGTAGGGGCGTGGAATGCTTTCCCGGAACGGGTAGTGGAGTCAGCCTCTTTAGGGGCATTTAAGCGGCTATTAGATAGGCATATGGATGATAGTATAAGGTAGGGGTGGAGGTTAGATAGACCTTAGGTTTAGGGTAAAAGTTCGGCACGACATCGTGGGCCACAGGGCCTGTACTGTGCTGTATTGTTCTATGTTCTATGTAAACCTCTTGATCAGAATACAGCCTGTAACTCACTCTTCGGTATTTGTTTTCTTTATAAACCACTTCATCAGTGTAGTCTGTAACGCTCTGTTGAGCATTTGGTGTTTTGTACACAGCCACCTCGATCAGAGCACTGACTCTGACTCATTCCCGTGTATATGTTGTGTTGCACATAAACTTGTTGATCAGAGTGCAGTCTGTAACTCACTCCAATACATGTTCTTTAATATATAATACCCTTGATCAATGCAGTCTGTAACTCACTCACTAATATACATTATTTTGTACTGAAATCCATCGATCGCAGTGCAGTCTGCAACTCCCTCGCCACTAAGTGTTGTTTGAAATGTCAGACTCCTAATCAAAATGTCACTCCCCCTTCTGTGTTATTTTTAGTATAAATCTTGAGTTGAAACAGTGCCACAGTTTATCTATTTAATCCCCTTGATCAGAGTTCAGTCAGTATGCACTCCCCAGTATATGTTCAACATAAACCCCTCCATCAGTGCAGTCTGTAAAACACTCTAGAATTTTTTGGTTTATAAATAATCAGAGTCTATCTGTATCACACTGCCCAGTATAAAGTTGTTTATATATAAAGTCTCTAACTTATTCCCCAGTGTATATTGTTTTAAATATAACCCCCTCGATCAGAGTGCAGTGTGTGACTCATTCCCCAGCCTTTGTTGTTTTCAATATAATCTCCTTGATCAGAGAGCTGTTTGTAAGTGTGTTCTCTCACTGTTCTGATACAGACCGAGTCACTAAAGAGACTAATGGAGGATTACAAGGAGCGGATGGATCTACAGCGATGTCGGCTGACTTTCCACTTTGATGGCACCGAGCTGTTGGAGAACAGCACTCCCCAGGACAATGAGATGGAGAGCGACGATGTGATTGATGTCCGGATATGCTCGTCCTGAATGCCGGGCTGGGAATGGTGTAAGGAAACAGTGATTGTTTTTTCATTGGCTGAGGGCACGTATTGTACATATTAACTCCTGACCCAGATTGTGTCCCAGTTCTGTGCCGGTTCCTGCAGTCAAATATCAGCTGTGTTCTGGCTGCCTGTATTGTGTTCAGACTGAACTATTCTGCTTGTAATTAATTGTACAGAGCTTTGATCAACCCAATTATGTGCAACATATTGTGCTTTCATAAAGAGAGATGTCTTGGTTTGTTCTGCCACAAAATTGACTGCTCCTCTACTCTTTTAAACTGAAGATAAAGAGCTTTCTATTCTGCAAAATTGAAGGTAAAGCTCTGTCGAAACACAGACCTCACACTGAACACGCACACGTGGACTCCATACTGTTTGCATCAATGCATTCACACATGTGCAATCTCATACAATCTCACAACACGCTCTGTCAATGCACCAGCAATGCAATGAAGAAGGCAAATGGAATATTGTCCTTCATCGTTCGAGGGATGGAGTTTAAAAATAGAGAGGTTTTATGTTGCAGCTGTATGGGGTGCTGTGTGGCCACATCTGGAGTGCTGTGTGGCCACATCTGGAGTACTGTGTACTGTTTTGGTCTCCTTACTTAAGAAAGAATGTATTGGCACTGAAGGGGGTGCCAAGGAGGTACACTAGGTTGATTTCTGGAATTGAGGTTGGCTTATGAGGAGAGATTGAGTAGATCAGAACTATACTCTTTTTGGAATTAAGAAAAATGACTGGTGATTTTGTAGAAACATAAAATTATGAAGGGGATAGATAAGGTAGAAGCAGGGAGGTTCTTCCCACTGGCGGGTGAAGCTAGAACTAGGGGGCATAGCTTCAAAATGAAGGGAAGCAGATTTAGAACTGGAAGAACATCTGCACCAAAAGGTTGTGAATCTGTGAAATTCCCTGCCCACTGAAGTAGTTGAGGCTACCTCTTAAATGTTTTTAAGGTAAGGCAAAGAGAGATTTTTGAAAGTAAAGCAATTAAGATTCTGGTGAGTGGGTGGGTGAAGGGAGCTGAGTCCATGAAAGGATCAGCCATGATCTTAATGAATGGTGGAGCAGACTCAATGGGCCAGATGCCTACTCCTGCTTTTATTTCTTATATTCTTATGTTTTTACTCGCCCTCACACACATGTTTACACATATGCATTTACACATACCCACTGACATACACACACAAACCAGGCACTTACACAAACATGCACTTTCATGTACGCGTGCACTCCCAATCACATTAATTCATTCCAATACACATTCATGTGCACACAATCTCACAATCACCCACTCTCACACTTACACACGCATGCAATCACAAATACACACAAAGCGTTCATACACCTGCTGACAATCAATGCATTCTCACAACCACACAGTCTCTCTCAGAAACACTGAAGCATGTGCACTCTCTCACACAATCATGCACACACTCTCAATCACACCAGTGCATTCACATGTATAGATGTGCACACATTATCACATGCACCAACACAAACAATAAGTAACACACACACTATGATAAATTCTCATATACACGCACACTGTTGTATTCTTGTAGTTTGTGACCAAAGTAAACTAATATACACATTTGAATGTTCATCAAGATTTTTCAGTGAGTTTATGAAATGTGTTAATACTACGCCTCCTTGACCTGTCCGTCTTCCCTCCCACTTACCCGCCCCTCGCTCCTCACTGACCAACACCCATCCCAACTCCCGACCTACACTGCCGTTACTGGCTTCATCGCCGCCTCCTTGACCTGTCTGTCTTGCTCCTGTATCCACCTTCTATCATCGCCTCCCCCTCTCTCTCTTTATTTCAGAGCCCCCTTCCCCTCCCCCATTTCTGAAGAAGGGTCCGGACCCAAAACGTCAGCTTCCCTGCTCTTCTGATGCTGCCTGGCCTGCTGTTTTCATCCAGCTCTACATCTTGTTATCTCAGACTCCAGCATCGCCAGATCGTACTATCTCTTAATAATAAGCAGTTTAGATTTGATGTAGTTTGTTAATCAGACAGAAAAGCAAACGTTCCTGCCCCCTGGATAAGGCTCACATTGAAAGTGTGAGAAGAAACTGAAGGATTCCTCGAGTATTTTTTCCCTGTATCCTGGTGCACTGTCCACATTCAGTGCTGGGACCACAGCTATTCACAATACGTGTTAATGATTCAAATGAAGGAGTGAAGTGTAATATCTCCAAGTTTGCAGATAACACACAGCTGGGTGAGAGTGAGAGATAACAGTGTGGAGTTAGAGGAAGACAGCAGGCCACACAGCATCAGAGGCTCAGGGAAGTTGATGTTTTGGGTCGGGACCCTTCTTCAGAAATGGGGGAGGGGGAAGGGAGCTCAGAAATAACTAGAG